CTAAAATCGGACAATAACCACGCCCACATCCCATATAACGGTAATTTCGAGAAATACAAAATCTTCGATAAATCAGTAAATATTGAAGCTAATTTATTCAAAATTGATGATTGCAACAATTCTTTACCAAGAAATAGTAGTAGTAGCACCGCCCACTTGGGATCACATATATGTATCTCGCTAACCGTTCTAGCAATTTGTACCAAGCTCAGTATCGTTATTGTGCTTGCCACATAAAAGCAAACCTTTGCAAATTGTTGAAATCGGACTAAAATTGAGGCCGCTTTTCATATAACGGTAAATTTCAGATATGCTTGAAATTTCAATATTTCGAAATTTAAGGACGCTAATTTACTTAAAATGTATACACCCCGGCTTATCATGTAGCGGTAGCTTTCGTAAAGGTGGAAAACATATATTTAATACTTGCGCCGGGTATTTAATGTTCGGCTCCGCCCGAACTTAGACTTTCTTACTTGTTTTATTTTGAATTCAAAAAATATTTAAAAGTCGCTCAAAGCGCTCAAAATTTAACCTATATTTAATATGGAAAAAAACAACTTTTCGTAGAAATGGTACAAAATCGATATTTTCGAATGAATGAAAAAAATATGGGTATATAATTTTTTCGCTGTTGAACAATCCCCGGGGGTGAGAGTATAAAAATTCTAACTTTACTTTTTCACATGCATTTCAGCATCACCCTAATGGACATACATAAACACATTTGAACCGAACAAACGAAAAACGCATGTACCCAAGTTAGGTATACAGATGCTGCTAGGTTTACTTAGCCGATGGCAAAGGTTAGCCGAATTGCAGCAGCGTTGTTAGGTGAATAAATGGCGTTGAATCCAAATTGAAACTTGTTTGCGCTCAATTTGAGTTTAGGCAATTTAACTCAATGCAAAATTTATTTACCTCAAATGTTTGGCTGGAGACAATACGCAGGTGTGTTGGTATATGTATGACATATACTTGTATATACATAGGTCTATACGCGTACAAACGAGTAGACACAAGTACGCACTTACATATATATGTATGCGTGTGTGATTTTATTCAAACGCAATCACGTCCATTGTGGGTGAACGTAAATATGTATGTATGTGTACATATGTACATAGGTATGTAGGTATATGTTTAAGTAAAATCTACATCGCGTCACTATGCTAACCAAGCCATTATCCTTTGGTGTAGTTACTTTTTTCTTTGCCCATTGGTGGAAACGGAAACAGGATTATTTCACTTAGTTTTCTTTGGCAGCTGCGGCTCGAGTTTCGTATTTTCTTGTTTACCCTCTGTGTACTTCTTTATTTTTCTGCAAAACTGCCCATCACTTTTCATTGCCGTAGACCAGCATTAAAATTTCACGAGCATTGTGGAAATTTTGCTGTCTAAAATTTCTTTCTGCCATAGTGAAATTTTATACTTTAATTCACTTTAGTACGCCATAATGTAGCCTGCGTGCCATTAACCCTTTTCCAACAACTATCGGCGCTTACAATTTCATTTCGTTTTTCTTTTTCAATTTGATGGCCTTGAATTGCTAGTTACTTTGATTTCTGCTGCTTCGGCCTTGGCATTAAATTGAGATATCTAATGTTGTAATTTTTTAACATCGCTTTTTTGTTAGTTGCACTACCAAGAAGGTTACTTCGAGTGAGAAGAGAACGCGTAAGTGCTTGAAAAACTCATTATAGAAAGGACGAGTATAATAAAGTTTGTAGTTTGAGGTAAAAGTAATGAGATTTTATTTTTGTGTTATTATAACTTATATGGAAATGGCTAAATAATAGAATATTGGATTGAAGAGTGTCAATAATAAGTAAGAATGTAAATATCAACGTGATGGTTATGCAACGTTAACTACTTTACAATGTTAAGCTACCGTTATCTTCACAGACTTAAATCTTCTAGCTATTTATAAGTTTTAGCTACCAAATAGGCTCTGTATCTTCTTTTATTTAAAGTAAAGTTGCAAAATTGGTGTAGCAATTTTATTCAAAATCTTCTATTTCAATTTTGATGAACTTTTTTTAGTTTTTTAAGAAATAAGTGGAGTCAAAGCAGTCATGATGTAAATCAGTTCTCAAGGTAAAGGGGGTGTAACAAATACATTAAAAGCATCATATATATTATTAATGATAATCGGAGTACAAGCAATTTTAATACGCTCTTCTTCTCCCTTCATGTTGGCTCTTGATGTTACCTTACTTGATCTAGAACCTAAATGTGCCAAGCCGGTTTCTAAGTGCAGAAGGCTCCAGGGAGCCACTTTGCGCATCTCTAACTTAATTCATCATAACTCTGTATGTATCAAAATGTCAGACGATAGAGATTTATGGTTTCAGTTTGAAAGTAATCTTGAAGAGGGTTGCCACTTCTTTAACAAGTCGAATTTAGTTAAATTACGGATATTGCAGATACGCAAGTTATATGAAATCTTAAAATGAAGATCTGCACCACTTGTTGAGAAACGGAGAGGCCAAAGGAGTCCTGTTTTTTGCAAGATAATGCACCCGTGCACATACGCGAGTTGCAAGGCGTGCCCTGGCAGCCACCATACAGTTCAAACTAGGCCCCCAGCGATTACTTTCTGTTCTCCAATTTGAATAAAAACCTCAGAGGATGAAGATTTTCGTGTGAAGAAGAAATAAAGATGGCTGCAGACGAGCAATTCGAAGACAACGGCGGCGAATATTTTTTCACTAGGTTAAATGTAAGAAGTACCTCGAAGTAGAGCAAACAAAAATTGTATACATTTCTATCAGCTATTTGAACACCTTTGGCTCAAAACTCTCTAGCCTCCCCTCGTAGACTTTCTTGAATCGGCACAGTGCGATTTGAAATTTGATGAAATGAAAAACCAACACCATGCGCGATATCTCTTCACTCAGATACGGCTAGAGGGGTTATGATACAATTTGCCACAAGAATCGCCTACAACTCCGGCTAATATTTTGAAGTATATTTTTAGAGTTTTGTAGAGGACTTCCACTTGTTTTAAATTCAAATATATCTCATAATGTTTTCCTATGGGTATCAAACAAAAGGGGTTAAGGAAAATTTTAATCTGAATATATTTTTAAGAGTGCTGCCACCTGTTTCAAAAATAAAGTTCAAATTAATTATATCCACACAAGTTCTGCGAAATATTTCCATATTATTTTGCCAAGAGAAAGAGTTTTAAGAAAGCTTTGTTTTTTTTTGATAAGGGTTGCCACCCATTTATAAAGGTTCGAGTTATTTTAATAAAACGTGGGGCACCATGCTATGTACATAAATTAAGCCTTACAGGTGTGCTATGCATGGAAGAGGTGTACAAAATCTTTGTTTCGAAAATATTTTTTGGAAAGGCTTGCCAACTGTTTAAAAATTCAAGCAGAATTTAATGAAATTGGAATTGGTTGTAAATTCTTAATTTTTTTGCAATGCCTTGGCCAATGGTGTTGGCATTTAACGTCATACAGATTCACTGATATATAAATAAAAGGCCTTGTTACCATTAGTTATACGCATAACTTTCACTTTTCACATTGTAGCCAAACTTCTTTAAGACAGCAATAGATGCCATTGTGAAATTAAAATAAAAAATTACAACATTCGGAGTTGCCATGTAACAAAAAAAAGTTAGCAGTCTTACCAAAGGGTTGCATTTTAAAGCATTGCTATGTATTACAAAACTTGGAAAATGCTTTAGTGGATTGTTTTATTTATACGAAACGAAACGAAACATTTTTTCAATTCGGTGTTGACATTTCAAAAAAATGGTTCTTTCAGGGTTCTGTACGAAGCCCTAAAAAGCGGTGGTTTGGTTCAAAAACCAGTTCGTTTCGAAAGCGTTGAACATTTTATTCTGTTTTCCTAGGCTAAAGTTTTGTATTATTTTTACACAAATTCGTCTTCTTCCTACTTCGTATTTTCATTTTTGGATTCGAAATTTTTATTTTATTTAAAAAAAATCTGATATACTTAATACAATAAAATAAACTAAACAAAAACAATAACAAAACAACAACAACAAAAATAGTAAAACTAGTAGCATCAGCACAACACTTAAAGAAGGCATAAACAAAAAAAAAAACAGAAAAAACTACAGAAATATTAAACTTCACATGAGAACTTGTACACTAAACTCGAATACTTTGCATTAATTTGAGAATATAACTCTCTAAGTACATACATACTTAATAAATATAAATACAAAAAAAAAAAAAATAGGTACTAAAGTTTTCCAATAAAGAATGAATGAATAAGTGCTAAATGAAAACATAATAACAAACCCCCTTTTTCTTTTATCCCACGTCGGATGCAGTTTACAACAGCGCCAGAGTATGAAACGGTAAATATTACGGAACATTTTTTAAATACATATTTACTAAAGCTAAAGTAATTGTTGTTGTCGGCTTATTTGTTGTTGTTTTTGTTTGTTAAGATAGATTACCAACTGACTTTTGCATGTCATGTTTGCATTCTAAATTTGTTTTAAGAAATTTATACAAATTCTTAAATGCTTTATTTAATCCATTTTCACTTTCATCCATTACAT